CTTACACACTTAATGACACACGGGCCTGAACACACACTGTTTAAACCAGAGGGCCAAGGCACTACCTGGAGCCATCGATCAGCCACAGGAGACAGGTCTCGTCCCTGAGGGTCTGGTTAAGAGCAGAGAGGTTGTGGGTCGGGAGGGCGGGGGGGGGCATCTGGATGGGAACCATCTGGTGGAGAGGGGGGGGAGCTACTAATGCAGCAGGCAGGGAGGCAGGTCTGCCGGGCCACGCCACCAGAACAAAGGCCATCGGTGTGTCCGCCCTCAGATAGCACACAGCCGGGGCCGATCGTCCTCAGTCGCTCTTTGGGAGGATTTGGGGCCCGGATGCATCCGCGCGTTTACCAGACATGTTAAAGGTAAATAAAGGCTGTTTTGGATGCAGATTTTTTGGATGATTTTTTTTTTTGTTCAGATTTACGAGTCTGTCCAGCTCACATCAGAAAGGAGAAGGAAGTAAAAGGAGTCCTTTCTTCTTTATTGTTGATGATCCAACATGATGTCAAGGATCTTTATCTTTTCTTTCTCCACCACATCCAGTCTGATGAAGTCTGGGCTGTGGAGGACTTCTGAAAGACGTGAAGGGAACCAGCTGAAGCTCAAATCTATCTTCACATCTTCATACAAAACTCACATTTCTATGCTGCTCAGAGTCCTCGTTTTATGCAGGTTACCTAAACTGAGTGACAACAAGGGGTTATCATCAGCTGGGAACACCCAAAAGAACCTGTCTTGAAGCTGCATTGACTGGAGAAATGTCTGACTTGAGTGATTGTGTCATGCAGAGATTATGTAGGATTACGTGGCACTAAAAGACGTGTAGGAAACATGAATGCAAACATACAATAATTAGAGAGGAATGCTGACTCTATTCTACGTTTTTGTTTTTGATGACCACATGTAGGTCACTCCCTCAATGCTATGTAGAAGTAATTCTTTAAAGATGGTATATATATAGTTTACCTTTTAATGAAAAAGGTTTAACGCTGTCTAAAACAGCTGAGCATTGCCAAATAAGCTTGAATTAATAAAACATATGTTGGGGACTACTTTGAGTGGCGGATTAATACACGTATGGTGTTGCAGTGAATAGGATGTTGTATGTGGTATCGATTCACAATAAACAAGCGGCTAATTTCTTGGTAACAAAGGATCCCGTCGTTCAGTGCGACAGACGGTAGCCTGCAGCACTCCATTCCAAACAAGTTCTGCAAGTCTGATCGTGAATAATCAAACATAGTAAAGTTTCCCTCTGTGTGTATATCTAGTTGCCCAAAACGTAACAGCGTGCAGCAGTGCGTCCGAGACCACTTGACCGCACAAGGACGAGCCAACGAGAGGCCTCCCCATCAGCGGCCTCGCGGACAGGAAGTGACTCCTGAGCAATTTGGTAAAAATGTTAGATGAACCCTGCTGGTTGTGATGTCATGCTGGACGCCATTGTTCGCCGCTTTCTATCTGAGAAGTGGCCCGGCTGACTACAAAGGACGCAGTGTGGCCAAAAAAAAAGAAGGGAAAAAAAGGTCACGAGATCGATCCGTGCGACCGCTGACGTGTCGGTCGAGAGGGTCGTCGATCGAGACAATAACGCTCTGTGTGCTCGGTCTAAATGGAGAAAGGACACACACACACACACACACACACACACACACACACACGCATGCACACACACACACACACGCACACACACACACAACTTGAAGGGGAATCGGGGCAAGTTGTCGTCAATAGCATGTTGTGTGCATGTCAATGTGTGCATTTCTGTGTGTGCAGATGAGTTCACATGCAACAAGGTAAAAAGTGCTCTTAAAAACTAAATATGATGGAAGCAGGGGAAGGTATTAGGGCTCAGATCAATATCAGAATATAAATACAGTAGGCGGAGGTATAAAAATGTATCAATTTACTCGGATAATCGCTTCAGTCATTTTAAAAGGACTCTCAATAGTGACAGTTTACGGCTTTTCTTTGAACCCATGTCAAAGAATTTTTTTTGAAGGCATCATCTTGGAAATCTCTACAAAAAAACAGACTATGAATCAAGAAAACAGTTGGCAGCTTAAAGAATAACAAAACTTAAGAGTGAGGGCAAGAAGAACCGAGGGGAATAATCCCCCCTCTGGATTTAGACTCAAAGCACACTCGATGCTGCTGTTCAACATCCGCTTACCACGTCTACATTTGTCAAATGTGCAAAAGCACAATAGAATTGATTCAGAACATTTATAAAGAACAAGCCTTAAAAACCAATGCTTCACTTGCCTGCCGGTTCCCCTCCCTCCCTCCTTTCATGCAGTTGAGCTTCTTCCAGAATCCCAAAAGAAAGACGTATCCAGACGTACCCCCCCCCCCCTTTCCCGGCACCCAGATACCGCTAAAGTCTTTGCAAAGTGCTTTGCTTGTTGACACAAACGGGGTCTGTTTCCTACAAAGACCTGCCAGGTGGCCACATTCTTCCTCTCTTCTTTATTGCGAAGCATCATTAAAACTCAAATGTAAAGTGTAAACTGAAGGGCCGCACAAATTTGTTAAAATCACAATGTGGGTGATTGTCAAATGAAATGTAGGAGGCGCTTGCTTAAAATTCTATAGAATGGGAATAAAATAATTACTACACTTAGTCAATGGAAAATGAGGATAACGGCGTAATGATCGATCCTACGAACGAGAGAGCAAAAGCAGTCGAGGTTTCGAAAAGTCCGCCTGAAGAGCATCATGCGCCACATCAAGGAACTATGAGGTCATCCAGGGAGGGCTTGCTGGCCTCATATTTGCAGCCCTCAGAGGCAAATGGTTCTGTAATTGGCATCGCAGCTTGTGGAAACCGAAGAATTTGTCTGATTCGACTCAGCAGCCTCGTTTCTTGGCTGATCATTAACATTTTTTCATCCAGCTGTTGGTGCGATGCGAGCTGCGCACTAATGTGGACGTCATGTTCAGCTGCCGCATGGAAAACCCTACAACACACCGGAGACCAGTTGATGATGGGGGTTATGTTTTTAGTGTGCGAGCAGCAGCCGGATGGAGAGAGTTCACAAGTTCACACAGTATGATGTGGTCACATATTTTTCTTATTATCAGATTATCCTATTTGTTAAAGGATATTCGTTTTAAATTAAATGCCTGTCTGTACAGCTCTGTCAGCCGGGCAGGTTGCAAGTCCACATCTGTCCAAAATCCTTTCATCCTATTTGGCACTTGAGTGAATTAGATGACTTACGGCCAAATGAGTGACGCTTTCATTCACATCAGTTCATTCATATCAGTTAATTTTAAGTCCAGATGAAAGCTTCATCTAAAATTTGAAGGAAATGATTCAATGTGCTTCTGAGATATTGAACTAATTGACCACTGACAGCGAAACCAATGCGGTTCAAAGTGCCTTAAGTTGCATTCTTATTAATATACATTAGGGGGCGACTCTGAGCAAGGAGTCGCTACAAAAAACAAAAATGGCAGCAGACAAAAACAGTCAACCTTGAGGCTTCAAAGCGGCACTTGAAAAAACACCCAGAGCTTTAGCGATAGCTTTGATTGACATTTTCTGATGCACCGAACAAACGTACCCTCCCTCATAACTCCCTTTGCTCGTTTGTGTGAGCACCTTGCGTCTCCCACCTCAGTCGGGTGATTGATGGGGAAGTGATTACACAGGACGCAGTATCCAGTTCCTCAAAGAGAAACGTTCCTCTCGGCGTTCTCATCAAACGGGCCTCTTGTTCCTCGCCGCGTTGTGGCCTCGGGCCCCCTGACAGGTATTCAGTCACGGGTGTCAAAGCATCATCTGCAGAGAAGTGCAACTATGTCGGCGTGACGATGAGGTGCAACCGCAGACATGTGGCCAAAACTCCAAAATACCCGTCATTCTGAACACACGTAACTGATTCCTTGTGAAAATTCCGTGAAATTTACGTCGTCGGCCACCCACCCCCCCGCGTCGTAACGAAGGAAGCTGCAGAAGAAAATGGTGGCCATAAAACAACACACTGCTGGGGGCTCGCCCAGTCATATTCATGAGGCTGAAGAGAACACGTTGCCCTCGAGTGCACCAAAAAACATGAAATTTCCAATGAAACTCCCTAATCCATAATCCATTATTGATTCATAATCCAAGCAGATTAGTCGGCATTCCACGTTTAGTTTTTTCCCCCCATCAATGCAGAGATTGGATTCCCAGTTTCTGGGTCAAATGATGTATGTACATATGTGGTAAAGCAGGGCATGAATAGAGGAGGCATTCCAGTTTAAGAAGCGCATTTCTATAATCCATTCCATACTTCACGAGCCGACATTCCAGCCAGAAATAACCTGCTGGCTTCTCTTCACTTTTCATCAGGCTTTTGTCGCTTACTTTTTACTACCTGCGGTGGGTAATTTACTGCACGGGATCGAGCTGCACTCGAGCCGCGGCAGTAATTAACACAACTAAATGTGTTGAGAAGAATGCTTGCAGCGGATTTGCCAGTACAACACGTGACGATCTCGTGGTCAAAGACGTTTCTTTATCTTATCTTATCTCTGACTTAATAAAGTTGTGTTCAACGGAAGCCTGGCGCTTTGAACCGGCCTCGACTCTTTCCAGCGCCCCCGGCCGCGTGGTTTCGTTTCACCCAAAAGAAAAGCTGACAGCGAGTCCCGTGTGCAACTACGTCAGCTGGCGCTCGGGCAACACATTGGCGGGGACTCGCCGACAATGTAACCGTGTTATTGTCAACACGTCATTACAGTTGTAGCAGACAGACACAAAGACAGACAGCAGCGGCTACTTCGTTAATCACATTCAAAGTGTTAGTCTGTGCTTCTTTTTGAGGTATTAACGTGTGTTTACTAAAGAAACAACCACCAAAATCAACCCTTGGTTCCTTCGTGGAAACCCGTCACACATCAAATCTGTCATCCACACACCATCAGGGCCACACACCATCAGGGCCTCGGTCACATTCGTTCAGCAAACCGCAGATGTTGCAGCGCGGGGGGGGGGGGGGGGTTCTTACCTCCAGCACGGGCCCTGCCCCCAGGATGATCTGCTCCACCCCGCTGGCGAACCCCTTCTGGCTGAGTGCGGTCAGGTGATGAATAAGGAAGTTGGTGCTCTGGGTCTTCCCCGATCCGCTCTCCCCGGAAATGACGATGCACTGGTTCTTGCGGCGCTGTAGCATGGCGTGGTACGCCACGTCCGCCACGGCGTAGATGTGGGGCTCCAGCTTCCCCAGCGCGTGGTTGTCGTACAACTTGACGTACTTTGGGTTGTAGACTGGCAGGAACTGGAAGGGGTTAATCACAATGAGAATGCTGCCGATGTAGGTGTAGATCTTCTCTTGGCGGAAGCGCGCGCGGAGGCTTTCCAAAATGGTGCGCTCCGTCAGTTCCGGCAGGGCGCAGAGGTCGGAGGGCGGGTCGCTCCCCGCGGGCTGGGGAAGGAAACCCCGTTCCACCAGGCGCCGACGCTCCTCGGTCACCCGCAGCCACATCTGCAGGCTGCCGCCGTAATGAATGGATCCGTCCAGGTTCTTCTCCCGTAGGAGGAAGCGGTAGTCGTCGCCGCTGCCCAGCCCGCCGCGGTTCTCCAGGGCGCTGCGCGGCCACAGCATCATCCGCTGGACGGGGCAGTCGCCGGGGTTGAGGATCCACTCCTCGCCGCCAAACTCCTTCACCTCGGCCAACACGTAGCACTTGGTGCGGTCCAGGCGCAGCCGCTCGATGAGGCACTCGATGGCTTCGGCGGCCGTGGTGTTCTTGCGGCCGCCGACGGGGCAGTAGATGGTGCCCTCGGCCAGGGCGCCCGGGTAGACGCGCAGGGCGAACTCCTGGTCCTCCAGGCGCCGCCGCATGCTGCCACAGGCGGCGGCCATGTTGGCGCTGCTGGCGTAGCTGCAGCCGCCATCTTGTATACTCATGGCGGCGCAGCAGGTCCCATCAGCACAGCGCTCTCTGGCCCCGCGGGACTGACTCAGGACATCCCAGCTGGAGGAGAGAGAGAGAGAAGAGCTCAGACATGGTGGAAGGGCAACACAACGACTAAAAGGAGGAATGTGTGGTTTCAGGCATCAGTTCGTGTCCCCGGGCTCCTCCAGGACATTGAGTCACAGCGGGGTCAGGGGAGTCGTAGCGAATTCATCCGTCCCATGAGTTGTGCGGCTCAATAGGCTTCCTGTTCTGGATCGTGAAGGGTTCTACTGTCATGGATGCCACAAAAGAGCGGCACGAGTCAAAGAGGGACACGAGGACTGATGTTCAAAACAATGGAAAACAGTAACTGCTTCATGAATTTAAAGGCTACCCGCCAGCCTATTAGAGCCACAAACCCTGTGTGTGTTTGTGCTCATGTGACAACCCAAGGGCTCTCGCCGTGTGCCAAGATTAACAGCTGCCACCTTCCACACAGTGGCTTTAATCAGAGCACAATGGTTTAATTCACCACTTCCCTGTTGATAGGTTCAAACGTGATGTGTGAAAAATGACTGTATATTACTGGTATAATAGGAACACAACACCCAATTACACAGCAGGGAATAATCAGTGTTTTCGTTTCTCAATTATTCTCATTATTTGATGAGGGTAATATCATTAGGAAACCATTACTCGGACATTAATCACATTGTCACTCCAGTTCTGCCGCTGCACCATAACTAAATTCACTAAATGCGTTAGAAGGGACAATTTCATTTTGCTAAAAATCCGTCTCCAGGGAAACATAAAAAAACAATAACCAGAGTATCCCAAAACTCAAATTATTAGACTCAAACAATTATTATTATATTAATAATTAATAATAATTTCATTTTCTATCTGGCGTCACCTTTCTCAACGTTTTTTGCTACTTTCAGAATATCTTCACATTCACTTTCAACACAAAACATGCATCAATGGTCACATTTTAAAAATATCCCTCGCTGGATGACTTTTCCATTTTCTTTTTCCCTCAGCTACGTGCATGCACTGGACGGATGAAGGCGGAGAGGGAAGGGAGAGGATGAGCCAGCCGCTCGTCGGCGTCGTCTGAGCGCCCCAGACGGACCCTCCTGACCCTCCTCTCCCTCCTCTTCCTCCTGCTGTCTGCAGCGATTCTGACCACCGACAGCGGTCTGCAGCGGGGGAGACGAAGGAAATAACCAGCTGTAAGAAACGAAGAGGTAAACTGTGAGGGATGAAAGCCGGAACAGACACGGGGACGACGGAGATGGAGATGGGGGAAAGAGAGAGAGAGAGAGAGAGCACCCAACATCCAAAACAACGTCCCCCGCGTTCGCCGCAGTCGTTGAGACACTAACGAGCTGTTGGCGCGGAAGGCGGGTCAGAGGATCGAGTCTGTTGTGCAGAAACGTAAATACAGTCGGTCCTTTCATGCCGCCTGGGGGGGTTCCCTCTGAGCGCTCTGCTGCTTGCACAGAGAGGAACACATCTACAATGTGTTGACGTGACGTTTACACTGGATTGAGTGATTTATTTAATAATATATATATATTACTTGAACCCTCGGAAGGTAAAAATAATTAAACGTTATATATCAAAATCTATAGTATTCATTTTTGGTCAAAGAAAATTGTCCAAGTTATGCAGATTTGTTAAACATGCTCCATTACACCAATATGGATGTGCTAGATATTTTTTAGTCCTATTTTATACAAGACGGTTATTGCATTTATATATTGCCATGTTTTTTGGCTTTCTCAACATGAAATTAAAAGTAAAACAGAAAACATCCCAGGGCAGTAATCACTCCGATACACCAACAATCCAGGAAATCTCATAAACAGCACAGATGTCACCAAAATAAAAGGATATTGCGGATTAACAGTTTAAAGGAACTAAATCCCTACTTCAGGGTAATGACGTTTTTTACCCAAAATGGAAAACACAGAGTTAAATTCTTCCCTTCCCGCCTTGTTGCCTCTAAAGCTCGGATGACCAAGTTAATTTGAGACTCATCTGAAACCGCCGCTGAAGCAGAGAATCTCTCAACTGTCTGCCGAGAGTTCACGAACCAGCGAGCACAGCAGCAAACATCAGCTGGAAGGTAAAAGGGTCAAAGGTCAGAGGGAGGGGCCAAAATCACACACTCGCCTTTGGCAGATCTCCTCGTCGGGCGGGGATTTTTTTTTTTTTTTTTTGAGAAACAATTCCTTGAGTAGAAGCAAAGTACAATGGACCTTCACGCCGTACGTTCAGCATCGACCGCGATGGACTACGGACGATGGCGAAGGCGGAAACGGACACAAAACTAGCCGGGGACATCAAGGGAAGGACGAGAAGACAAGACAGACTTTCATAGTTTCGCATCCTGGTGGAATCGCCCTGACTTTGCCAGGTGCAAAACCGTGGTACCTCCGTTGTCATGGCGATGTCTCGAGGCGATGCGAATGCCATCCCTGCACTGTCTCTTTCAGTATTGATTATTGTCTCAAATGTCAGAAAACACCCAATGATTCCTTCAGCCCAAGGCAAAGTCTTTAACGGTCTTTATTCTGTCCTAGACTCGTGTCTAAGCACATTCAATCATCCAAGCTTACACTTTAAATGTTCTTTTGTTGCTTTAGAGGCTCTAAAATGTAATTCATGAAATGTGTACTACAACGTCGCGGTCTCTCCCGTGAGTTGGAACCATTTGGGCAGACAACTTATAACTAGCCTTCTCTTACTCTACTTAACCGGACTTTGTAGTTTGTGGGAATCTTTCTGGAATCTTTCTGGAAACCCGCTGAGATGAAGAGGTGAGCTTCTCATCTTTTTGAAACTCCGGCATCTCCACATCGTCCTTTGGCCCAGAAAGAGAATAAAAACGGATATTCCACAGCAGCGGGGCTTCAGAACATGCAGTAAATGACTGGGCCTCTGGTACAGATGCATGAGCGGAGACGGGGAATCTTCAGGATCTTCTGAGGGAGAAAGCTGCCAGCGAAAGGCACGCGTCCAAGACATCAAATAGAGATGAGAAGCTCAACTGGGCCTGCAGGTCTTTAGAGTCCGGCCGGCACATAGTAACACCCCCTCCTCTCTTACAGTCGCTTCTCACCAGTGTAACAGCAATAAACACTAAACCTCAGCATTCCTCCACAGCGCTCACACACACACACAAGTTCACTTCGCTTTTAATCTCTTAACACGGAAGGTGGGTTTTCTTCCTGTTGCTGGAAAAGAAAACTGAGGCTTTTTTTTTCTTCTCATTACACCAAAGATGATCGCTTTAGCAGAGTTATTATATGATTCATTTGAGCTATGACTCACAGTAAACACACACGCTCGCTCCCACCCCTGATCACTCATCAGAGAAGATCATTTTAGATTACAGGCGTATTTCAAACTCCCTGTGGGTTTACTCCTCAGTAGTGGCTGCTGATCTACACTAGGTCCTGAAGCTTATTCCAGAACGAACACACTCACACACACACACACACACACACACACACACACACACACACACACACACACACACACACACACACACACACACACACACACACACACACACACACACACACACACTCTTGCAGCAGACCAATGCCACGCCTTCTCCCCCACCGCCCCTGAAGTCAAAACTAAGAAAGGTGTGTGTGTGTGGTTTGCATACAGCTGGTGTTTTCTTAGGATAAGTGTTTTTATTGGACGCTGAAATATTCTTAAATTTTTCTAATTTAAAAGCAAAAAGGGAAGTAGACACATCTGTACAATACGTGTGAAACTTTCTTTGTTTTTTTTTATCATGCAAAAATCATTACCTTTTTTGGTTCCTGAAACTCCTTTTTTCAAAACAGATCTGTAGATCTGTAACTTAAAACGGAGCATTTGTTGGATGGTGGAACCTCTAAAAGCATTTCGATGTCAAAATAAAGGCATAAAACGTGGGTGAAACGTGCTAGTAGTGCGAGTTCAAAATGAGTTACTTGAGGAGTGCATCACCGTCTTTAAAGAGGGAGTGTCCAGACGTGTGTGTTATTACGTCCATGTAGCCCCTCGCTCCGGCTCTATGAAGGCTCTATTTCCAACGGAGCTGCTTGTTCTGAGGGACACTGAGCCGTTGAGACCGAGCTTGTGGATGTGACACGCAGTGTTACTGCGAAACAGAGAAGGTGTTCAACTAACCCTAACCGTGGAAAGCTAAAGGCAAAAAAAAAGAAAAAGAAAATAATAAATGCTTTGTGCGTGTGAGTGCGTGCATGTGCGTGCGTGCGTGCGAATTCCTAAATTCCAGCAGGCTACCAGAGCTCACAGGAAAAGCCCACACAGACACAAACATCTGCATCAACCTCAGGCAGACTGAGACAGAGTGCCGAGTCATTGCCTGCGCGTGCGTGTGCGCGTGCGTGTGTGCGTGCATTCGTAAAAGAACGAAATGCTTGTAGAGGGCTTTTCAGTTTTCCCCCAATCCACCCAAACAACATTGTTTGGTTAGAAGCTCTAACAAATTTAAAACAAATGAACGATGACGGGAGAGAAGAGAACAAAGCGAAATGATCTCTGCAGTGCTGCTGCTTTTTCTTTCAGCTGGTTTGATTCGATATGTTGAGGTGAAAGGAGACGAGAAATAGGAACGTATGCTGCAGAGAGGATGAGATCTGACCCCTCGCCCACAATCAAAGGCCGGCCTGCCAGAAAATCAGCCAGCAAATCAAACCGCAATCAAAGTCGTCCCGCAGCCCCTCTGCGGTTGTGCAATGAATGGCTACACAAAATTGATAAAAACACACACTGAAATCACTGTCGCTCCATCTTGTGTACCTCAAGTACATGTGCGGCCCGGCCGAGAGGGCCCATCATCGGGAACATTATCGTGAGCCATTGCCTAAATTTGTCTTCACGTGCCATCAACACATCTGTGGGTAAACACCCTTCACTGGTCCCCAAACGGTCAATGCTGTGTGTGTGTGTGTGTGTGTGTTCAAGAAATGATGCAGAGCCACTTGGCCCTCTGCACCATGACACTCCCCAATGTGAGATGACATCACCCAGACCTGCAGCACTCTAGA